AGACATGACTTGCCAGTTATTTGCGTTATTGATGAAGGTGGCAACATGACAGATGCATGCAAGGAATTCAAGGTGTGATTCCGTATACATCATTTATTCATTTTTTATTATGATTTAATAATAAATCATTGTAGGGAGTGCCGAGATTCATCACACGGAAAAGACTAATGGACCAACTGTCCGTACGAGGTTTGGTGAAAGGTGTGGAAGATAATCATCGGATGACACTGCCACTATGTTCACGCACACATGATGTGATCGAGTATTTGCCAAAGGAACAATGGTTCTTGCGCTGTACAGCAATGGCCAAGCGGGCACACAAAGCCGTGGCGGATGGTGAATTGAAAATCTTTCCAAGTGAGGACGGCATTTACGAACAAATGTGGTACAACTGGCTCGAAAATCATAAATATAGGTAAAATTATTATTGTGTTTAATTAGTAAATAAATGGATAAAGACACAGTGAAATAGATGAATAAAGGAATAAAAAAGAAAAATAATTAAAAAATATAATATTTAATCTATCTTTTACAAATTTTTTTTTTTTTTAGAGACTGGTGTGTTTCAAGACAGTTATGGTGGGGGCATCGCATTCCAGCATATTCTATAATTCATGGTGATGGTAAAGATAACGATAATGATATATTCTCTGATAGTAATAACACCACTTCGTGGATAGTCGCACGATCCGAAGAAGAAGCGCGTTCTCTTGCACGAGAGAAATATGGAAACACAGTGAATTTACGTCAGGATCCAGATGTTCTCGACACATGGTTTTCTTCGACAATTGTGCCATTTGCCACGCTTGGCTGGCCGGAAAACGTCAATATTCTTCTCTATATACATTTTATTACATATAACTTTATGAATATTTTTTTACATATCACAAAAATTTATAGACGGAGGATATGGCAAGACATTATCCGCTAACACTGATGGAAACGGGCCATGATATTCTCATGTTCTGGGTGGCGAGAATGGTGATGCTAAGTCTGGAACTAACACAGCGTTTACCATTTAAAGTATAATTCCATATGCACAATAAATTATTCATGTCTGCTTTTTATCAATATTTTATCAGAATCTTGATTTAATTCTTGTATATACAGGGTGGACCATCTGAAGTGATCCAGTCAAATATCTCGAAAACTAGTAGGGATAGAGAAAAATGTTTCGTATGAAAAG